CACCTTTGTCTTCTACCGTGCCGGCGACTCGGGCTGGCAGAACAGTATCCGCCATAATCTCAGTTTGAACAAAGCTTTTATCAAGCAGGAACGCCCAAAAGATGACCCTGGAAAGGGCAACTACTGGGCTATTGAGCCTGGCATGGAACTCAGTTCCTCAAGGATAAACCTTTGCGTCGAAACACCATTTCTGGTATCCCTGTGGCACAGTCTGCGCCTCGTATGGAGCCGCGCTTTGAGTCCTCAGCGCCTGCTCATGTCTGTCCAATTTCTACTACGACTGCCATAGCCACCACCGTCACTAATACCACGGCTGCCACGTCTGCTGCGACTACCACCACTACCAACAAATCTACAAACACCGTTGCGGTTACATCTACGCCAGCGTTAAGCGCGACAACCACTGCTACAGCATCTTATGTGCCACCTTCGAACCGACAACCCTCCAAAACTGCCAATGTAGACCTGTCTTCTGATGCTACTCTGCCTGCTTCAGACCCTGCACTTCACGAAGACAGTGGAGATGAAGTTGGACGCCTTGCCATACCCCATTCCCATTTTCCCCACTCATCGCCTCCCCACCCTATTCATTCTTCGCCTCCCATTGCTGCTTCTATCTACCACCGTCAGGCTACTCCTCCAACTCCATCTCGTCCAGTCACCTCTTCAGCCGCCATTCCCCGTTCAAGGAAGCGTAGCGCTACGGCGATGAATGACAGTGGCTATTATTCTTCACTCGAATCTTCTGCAATGCGTCCACACAAAGCCGGTCACATTATAACCTCTGATTTGGATATTGAGCAACCTCGTATCAAGCGAGGGCGCGCTGAAGAAGAAATTGCACGCATTCGAAGCTCGTCTCATGATATCAGTCCATTGCGTATTGGAACGCTGAAAGATGCTACTCAGCTGATTGGATCATCACCTCTTCGACATGAATATAACAATATGCTTCCCCCACCTATTACTCCAGCAATTAAGTTTAAGAAACCAGTCAAACCTCCACCTTCCCTCTCTCCTAATACAAACCTACAGAACCATCGCAAGAAGATTCAACAGATGGTGAATTCTCCAATCAAGCGCTATGGCCTCACCGATGATGTTCTCCCCTGGAGCCCTGCATTCAACATCCAAGACGACGCTTTTCTGTCGAATGATAATCTCACCATACCGTTTGATGTTTTCGCCGAGCAGCTACCAAACACCATTTCCACCCCTACTTATGGTTCACCAGAAAAGCGATCCGTCAAGCGTCAGCGTGCGGACCGTCTCAATCCAACCAGCAACTTGCTTTCAGACATCACAGACCTTCATGGTAATAGTCGACTAAACACCCCACCGCCGATGAAAGCATCCAGGGCGAAAGGTCCCAAATACTTCGAATCTTCACCCAAGAAGCCCAATACGTCACATTATAATGATATCTCTCACGATGACTTGTTCTCATTCAATCTCTTCAGTGAAGACAATGCAGAGGTTGACGGAATTGATCTCCTTCAAGGCTTTACAAAAATCGGTCACACCGATAAATGGTGGCAATTCTCCCAAGCAGCTTCTTCAAAATCAATCATACTTTGGATCCAGAAGCAATAATAACAACCCAAGGTTTTGAATCAAAAACTCAATAACCAAAAGCCCTTTTACAATAATAATTTCTTGTTTCCCGTTTTGGGGTGTTGGAGTCCTCCTCGTTCTTTTAGCTTAGACCTTAGTTTCGTCAATTTTTAATTTTTTTTTAATTTTCATTTTTTTATTTCCTTTTTTTGGTATCTGGATTCCTTGTGTTTCCATCTTTGGGCGCTGGAAACGGACTTCTTTTTTCCGGTGCTTGCTTCCTGATTTCCTGTTTTCTTGACTTCCATGACCACCACATCTATATGATGTTACGGTATGGTTCCTTTTTTGCGCTCTAAACTCCCCGACAGTTTTATGTGGTTCCTGTGCAGTTATTTATTGTCTTTGCAAGCGTGGTGACACATTTCTCTCCTGCTCTTTTCATTATCTCCTTTCATTTTGCTTTTATTGCTCGATACTCTTTCTTGTCTTATGCCGATAGTTTTTACTTGCTCTACTAATGTCCGTACATATCCTTGTCGGAGTCCTTATCTGCTGTTACGACGTAATTTCTTTAATCTTTCACATTTCTCTTTTTACAGCGACTGGTGTTCTGAGTTCCTGGTTTCTTATATTTGGTTTTTCATCACGGCTTTCAGGAATTTCTGGGTCTAGTCGGATCGTGGTGGTTCTTTTTTGCTTTCTTTTCAGGGTCAGGGTCAGGGTCAGTTCGCAAGGACAGGAAAAGAACGGGGAAATGGTAATTATTATGAGACGACGACGCTCATGATACCATGACATGTTAATGTACGCCCACTACGGAGCACTGCTACGCCTTATGAGGTTCTTGTTTTTATTGTTGTTTTTATTTTGCGAAACTATCCTCCTCTTTGCTGTGTGATTAGTGTTCTTCCCCTCCATTTTCTATTCTCTTGTTACCTTATTTTCGAAGCAGGTTGCAGGTTGCAGAACTTCCATAATTATCCACTTTGCTCAAGTTTGTTTAATTACTTCACATTATGGTGCGCAAGACAATGTTAATTGTTTCAATATACTTAATAGCACTCACTAGTCTTAGTACTAACTACCCTTATTATATAATATCATATATGAAGTTCGTAACTTCGACGTAGTGTATTGATATATAGTCAATAAAGATACAAAACCCCCTCAAAAAAAATAAAAAAAATAAAAAATATAAAATAAAAATAAAATAAAAAAAGAGGGGGAGAAACAACGTCCCAATGCAAAGCTCCCACCACGCAGGTCTAGAAGTCAATCTACCCCATTTCCACATCTTGCCTTCCATTCCCCTGCCTTGAGCTTGATTGATGAAAGAGAAGTCTAAACACGATTCTCCAACCGAGCTTCGAATTCACATTCGACATATACGAAATAAGAATAGCATATTGTAGGGTGACGCCAACCCCGGGGGGCGGGGGGGGGGGGGGGGGTAGAAGTTACAATAATCCCATCTCATTCCAATCCATTCCCGCTCGTTCGCCATTCGCATTGG